AAGTATGGAGAACAGCGATAGATGGACGGACGCTGAAGTGCAGGCACTTGTAGCAAATGTAGCACTGCCAGTTGTCGTTGGAGATTCTTAGTCCTCCTTTCCGTTCTTTCAATCTCTTTACGTATACGTCGACTTTCCATGTCCATTATTGTGAAACCCGCGAGACACAACAAAAACACAGCTCTGATCACAGCGTCCTCCATCCTCCTGTTGTTAACGTTGTTTTTCTTTGTTTCCGTTGTTAAACGCCGCTCACAAATGACGTCGCTGTCGACCGGCTTACGTCACTTCTTAGTACACACCGTCGGTGCGAATGCAACCCTTTAAATGGTACTGGGAAATAGTTCACGCAAAATCATCCCAGTACTTTAATACGGTCCATTTAGTTCTGGAACTAAAGCGGTGCGAAAGGCCCTAATGTTCTTTGCTTCTCTGCTCTGCTGTTAAAGGGATAGTTCACCCAAAAATTAAAATTAGGCTGCGTTTTACTCACCCCCGAGGCATACTAGGTGTATATGACTTTCTTCTTTCAGACGAATCCAGTCGGAGTTATATAAAAAATGGTCTTTGATCTTTCAAGCTGTTTAATGCCACTCAGCGGGTGTTGCATTGCTTCAGTCCAAAAGAACTTAAATAAAAAGCGCCCATCCATAAAAAAAAAAGTGTCTCACACAGCTCCGGGGGGTGAACAAAGGCCTTCTGTAGCGAATCGATGCGTTTTTGTAAGAAAAATATCCATATTCAAAACGTAATAATCACTTTAATCTAGTTTGCACCAGCAGTTGTACACGGAAGCGGCTCCGGGCGGATGACGTATGAGTTCAGCGCTGTGCATGCGCCGGTGAGTCTCGTGAAAACCAATGTTTGTTTACAGGATCAAAGGAAGCAAAGTTTCCTTACTTTAGCAAAGGAAAACCAGTCTCCTCTTGGCTTATATCGAAATCCTCTGACATTCTTCTTTACAAATCCTCATTTTGTACTTCTAATAAGTGACCGTTGTTTTGTTTTGATCTCTCTGCTGTGCTTACGCGTTCGTCACTTCTGAGCGGTGCATGCGCAGCGCTGACCTCATACGTCATCCGCCGGAACTGCTTCTGTTTACAACAGTGAGCGTAAGCTACATTAAAGTGATTATTACGTTTTGAATATGGATATTTTTCTTACAAAAACGCATCGATTCGCTACAGAAGGCCTTTGTTCACCCCCCGGAGCCGTGTGAGACACTTCTTTTTTTTTTTTTATGGATGGGCAATTTTTATTATTTTTTTGGACTGAAGCAATTACACCCCCTCGTGTCGTTCCAAACCTGTAAGACCTTTGTTCATCTTCGGAACACAAAATAAGATATTTTTGATGAAATCTGAGAGTCTCTGATCTTGCATAGACAGCAACGCAACTGCAATGTTCCCAGGTCCAGAAAGGTAGTGAGGACATTGGTAAAACAGACTATGTGACATCAGTGGCTCAATTTCAATTTTGCGAGTCTACGAGAATACTTTTTGTGTGCAAAGAAAACAAAAATAAAGACTTTATTCAACAGTTCTTCTCCCCTGGGAACATTTCAGTTGCGGTGCTGTCTATGCAGGATCAGAGAGCTCTCAGATTCCATCAAAAATATCTTAATTTGTGTTCCGAAGATGAACGAAGGTCTTACGGGTTTGGAACGACATGAGGGTGTGTAATTAATGACAGATTTTTAATTTTTGGGTGAACTAACCCTTTAATTTCCTTTTGACTTTGAACTTTTCCCATCTTTCTTCAATTATTCTTTCCTGCCCTTTTATACTCCTTTTCTCTTGTCTGTCTGTCTTCTATATCTTTCAGTCTGTGGATCTCCTCCGTAAGCCTGCTTTCTTTTCTATGTGTGATCAACTGGCTTTCATAGTTTAAAGGTTTCTTCTGGAGTAATCTTCGCTCAAGTGTGGTAACGTAAGACCGTCAGTTGGACAGCATGTGTATGTTCCTCAAATATTCCTATGAGCTCCATTCTGAAGCCTAGTGAGCTGCCTACCAAGACAGCATTACAAGGTGTCATATGTACATTGCAAAGGCTGTTATGAAAATCAGTTCTGTGATGGTTAGAAAAGCTATATCTAGACAATAGACTGCAAGGCAGCTCACTGGGTTTTAGGACAAAGCTAAGACCTTAAGGGTTTCCTGCAGCTCTGTAAGTTCACATCTATGCCCATGTGGGGTTTGTCCTGTCTTTTCACATTTTCTGCACTGATTGTTGTCAGTTGGGTAGTGATGTTTATGAATGGAGCAGAGTTACTACACTTTTACTGGTAGATAAAGTAATAATAGTTTAGACAAAATATTTAAAACAGAAACGTACAGTAGGTGACTGATTGGGTAGAATTTATTGTATGATAGATAATCTAAATCTGCCGTCTTCTGTGGGTGTATGTTTCTTGAAAACCCACCTCAAACCTTGTGTGATTTAAGGTTCATTGTTGTCTGGCTACTTGGCTACTGGCTTTGATTTGATGTGTTTAAGTTAAGTGTTATGATCATAATATTTCAGTAAAATACAACCCGATTTCAGCTAACAAGATTTCAGGTTAAGGTTGTGCCAGAGAAGAGGTAAAAAGATCTTATAATATGCATACTTATGTGCAGTGGTCGACCGATATATTGCCAAGGGCGAAATATCGGCTGATATTTGGCATTTTTTTAAATATCGGCATCGGCCGATAAGTTTTCCTGTTTGGCCGAAGCGTTCGAGGTGGGACTTTTATTTTGATGGTTTTACACAGACTTCTATTCATATTAGACAGAACTGTTAACGACAACAGCGAACAAGAGGGAGAATGTGAGCACTGTCTAATAATTGGATAGAACGTATAAACAAAGGAATTAAAATGTATACAAAAAGTATTATAATGATTGCTTTTATATTATTAGTAATAGAAAGGCAAACATTATAATACTTTCTTGTTTGCCGTCAGCATTTAGCAAATACGCATTTATATCATTTAAACAAATCTTTGAATAACTAATGAACATTTAATTTCACAAAGTTTGCAAACTTAGTCGGATCCAGTTGTGAGATCTTGTGAAGTGTGCATTTTTATCTTGCATGATCGCGTGTTCTCTGCGTGATGGTCGGTCCGTGTGAATGTAATGCAGACAGGTGAAGAGTTCAGCTTCACTAGAGATGCGCGATCGACAAACTTTAAACTCGTGATTTCAAATTATGCTGCACTTTATGCATTTGCCCACTGCCATATTCATGTCTTTTCCACTGTGTGCTGTATGTAAAATGAGTGTTACCTTGGCTTTATTTGGAAAAAATATGATTTCCAATGCACACAAACTTCCCAGAATACTGAGTGCTCTGTTGGTTACAGTGTTTACTTCCTTTTTTTATTATATTTTTTATTAAATATACTTTAGATGACAAAGTATTTCACAAATAAATAAATGTTTATTTGACACATTTACTTTTTAATCCATTTTCAAATGCTTTCAAATTTCTTAAACATTAATTAAAATAAATAAAAATATATCGGCCATCGGCCACCCTGCTTTCCAAGATATCGGCATCAGCTGTCAAAAAAAAAACAATATCGGTCGACCACTACTTGTGTGTTAAAATGCACATGAAATGAAATCCAGACGGCCAGAAAGTGACACTGCGTATCAGTCATGCTGAAGCATGAGGGAAACATATTACAGTTGAAATTCTAGCAACATTGCAAATTCATTTCAAGTACATTTGCATTTCCTAGTTGTGCAAGCACGATCAATGGCGAAATATTATAAGAAAGAGTAGGTATTGAGGTAGTTTTGATCACTGTGCATTGCATGCATTGCTGTTTTTTTCAGTGCTGAAAGCTGCTGCCTGCCAAAGTTGTGAATATTACATGATTGAATGGCTTGTATGTTTTCTCAAATAATTTCAGAAGTTCATTTAATCTGTCTTTGTGTGTTGTGTGAGCGAGTTTGTAGTTAGGCCTATGTGTAAGTATCTGTTCTGTTAGGGCTGGTATCTCAACAATGTGTTGTGTGTTCAGGTGGGACTTTCAAATGACGCTCAGGAGCAGATGCACATGATGCTGTCCCAGAAAGAATCCAACTACATCCGCCTCAAGCGTGCCAAAATGGACAAATCCATGTTCGAGAAGATCAAGACTTTGGGAATCGGGGCGTTTGGAGAAGTGTGTTTGGCTCGGAAAGTGGACACGGGAGCGCTGTATGCCATGAAGACCCTACGTAAAAAAGATGTCCTGTTGCGGAACCAGGTGGCCCATGTGAAAGCTGAGCGGGATATTCTTGCTGAAGCTGATAATGAGTGGGTCGTCCGGTTGTACTACTCGTTTCAGGATAAAGATAACTTGTATTTTGTGATGGACTACATCCCTGGTGGGGACATGATGAGTCTTTTGATCAGAATGGGCATTTTCCAAGAGGACTTGGCTCAGTTTTACATCGCAGAGCTTACCTGTGCTGTGGAAAGCGTCCACAAAATGGGTTTCATCCATCGAGACATCAAACCTGACAACATCCTAATTGATCGTGATGGACACATTAAACTGACAGACTTTGGACTGTGCACTGGCTTCCGATGGACTCACGACTCCAAATACTACCAAAGCGGTGAGCCTAACAAACAACTCAGACCAAAATATATTTATGCTAAATTGACCCCATTATTTTGTGCTATTATAGACAAATAGCTACTTATTAAATAAAATATTGCCAATAGTTAATGCAGTATGTTAGTGCATAGGGCATTTAATTTGTTTATTACATTAGCCGTAATCAGTGTTGGGTGTAACGCGTTACTGTAATTAAATTACTTATCCAATGAAAAAGTAAAGTAAGGGATTACTGTTCATTTGTAGGTAATTTAATTACAGTTACTTATGAAGTACTTGCGTTACATACTGTAAATAATTTCAACCGTTCTTAAATCAATATTGAATTTGAAATCTAAATCTACAGTCTAAAGATAAAATTGAATGCAGCGTCTTTAACCCTCTGTGCACCGGCGCGTTCACTTTCAGTTTTTCCTGATTCACAGAGAAACCTTAAATACTCTGATACAGATAAGACTAAAATCAATCGAATCTAAAAAGGGCCTACTTTTATTTGTGTACACTGACAATAACAACAAAACATTGTGCTTTTGTAAAATGAACAAAACAAACAGGGTGTGCTTTCTGCCGTCTCGGTCTCCGTGAGCAACTTTCTACGCATCACAAATATGAACTGAAACTCAGCGAATGCTTGACACAGAGACATGAGAAATATGTCTATAGAAAGCTTGAAGTGTCTACTTTTAAATGAACAAATTCAATCGAAAACGAATATTCTCCGATTATGTAATCCGTATGAAACTAAAGCGAGGTACAGTCTTTCCCGAATCTGAAAGAAAATCAATATTGAATTTGAAATCTAAATCTACAGTCTAAAGATAAAATTGAATGCATCGTCTTTAACACTCTGTGCACCGGCGCGTTCACTTTCAGTTTTTCCTGATTCACAGAGAAACCTTAAATACTCTGATACAGATAAGACTAAAATCAATCGAATCTAAAAAGGGCCTACTTTTATTTGTGTACACTGACAATAACAACAAAACATTGTGCTTTTGTAAAATGAACAAAACAAACAGGGTGTGCTTTCTGCCGTCTCGGTCTCCGTGAGCAACTTTCTACGCATCACAAATATGAACTGAAACTCAGCGAATGCTTGACACAGAGACATGAGAAATATGTCTATAGAAAGCTTGAAGTGTCTACTTTTAAATGAACAAATTCAATCGAAAACGAATATTCTCCGATTATGTAATCCGTATGAAACTAAAGCGAGGTACAGTCTTTCCCGAATCTGAAAGCTTGAAGTGTCTACTTTTAAATTTGGATATGTGAAGATGCTCCAACTTCCATGTCTTGGTCAGAAAGCCTCCTACAAACCAAAGTTGTCTACAAACCAAACAGTCACTTTTCACCATCACATCTTCGGTTCAACTAGGGTAAGGTGTTCAACTTTTTCTATCTGTGTCTTGTCAGGTGATCATGTGCGTCAGGACAGTATGGACTTCAGTAAGGAGTGGGAAGACAGTGCTAACTGTCGCTGTGGAGACCGATTGAAGCCACTGGAGCGCAGAGCCGCTAGACAACATCAGCGCTGCTTGGCACACTCATTGGTGGGCACTCCCAATTACATCGCACCTGAGGTTCTGCTGCGCACAGGTATGTCAGTGTGTGTGTGTAGTAGTACCTACTCGTGAACAATAGTAAACTTCATTTATCAAGCACTTTTCATACACTTACAAAGATTGCTTGACAAAGAAATACATGTTTCATGTAGTTCACACATAAATAAATATACTCACCCACATCATTCAAAACCTGCATGACTTTCAGTCTTCAGAAGATGTTTGTGACTGAGACATCATTCATGCTCATTGCATCTTGTTTTCCTTACATTGAAACAAATCAAATGAGCATTTCAACATTTTAAGGCTGTTCATCTCTAGTCGGAAAGCAAAGACAATTTCAAACTACAAAACGATCTCATCAGTTTAGTACACTTGAGCAGGAAGAATGAAGGCACAGTTATACTTCTGTCCATTCTTTTTCATTTTCAGTATTCATTATGGTCTCGCCTTTATTTGTATTAAAGCTGTTATTTGTGTGATGAAATATCTAAACAGTGCTGATTCTAGTACACCTTTGCAGTACTAGAGTAGATGTGTCTATAAAGTGACGTGACGTGACATGTGGCCAAGTATGGTGACCCACACTTAGAATTAGTGCTCTGCATTTACCCATCCAAAGTGCACACACACAGCAGTGAACACACACAAACCGTGAACACACACCCGGAGCAGTGGGCAGCCATTTATGCTGCGGCACCCGGGGAGCAGTTGGGGGTTCGGTGCCTTGCTCAAGGGCACCTCAGTCGTGGTATTGAAGGTGGGAGAGAGCGCTGTACATTCACTCCCCCCACCTACAGTCCCTGCCGGTACGAGACTCGAACCCACAACCTTTGGGTTATGAGTCCGACTCTCTAACCATTAGGCCACGACTTCCCCAAGAAGTTAAAAAAAGCTTAAATGCACTCAGATGTAGACTGTGATGTGCTTACAAGTAAATTTGAATGTACCACAGTGTTTTGTGCAGAAACCGGTCGTATGTTTGCTCCGTGTGTTGCACTCTCATTTATGGGGCAGCAGAGCAATTGAATGGAAATCAATTGCAGCATTTCAAACTCCTGAAATCAGATTACAGTAACTGGTTTATTTGCACACATATATTTAAAACAGGAATTATGTCCATTTTTGCAAAAGGCTTGTGGTACTATTGGTTTATGATGGTGGCACACATACTATTGTTCAAGTGTTGAACTAGTTTCTGTGTCACGTTGCTCATTTGCTGTGTTGTAAGGTACAACAGAACTTTCCACTGCTGTAATCCTGAGATTTCATAACCCTATAAATTAATTAAATTGGTATGATTGTTTTGTTTTATTTATTTACTTGTTTCCTTAATCCTAGGTTACACCCAGCTCTGTGATTGGTGGAGTGTGGGTGTTATCCTCTATGAGATGGTAGTCGGTCAGCCTCCTTTTCTGGCAACAAATCCTCTTGAGACCCAGATGAAGGTGAGAATATATGCTGGTCCTTATAGGTGGATATGTGTTTGGTCTCATGTTGTAACGCATACAGTGGTGGCCAAAATGATTAGAACACCTGACAAATATTGACCTTTTTTGCCTCAATAACATGATTTCATTTCATAATGTTCATGAAACATGCAGATGGTTTCTCTGAGCACAACAAATATCAGATGAAGTGAGCCCGTACTGTTTTTATCCACTTTTAACTTTAATATTTGGTATGTCCACCTTTTGCAGCAATTACAGCAGCACATCTCTCTAAGGGTGTGCGATATATATCATCTGCGATAATATCGTAATTGTTTTAACAATGTGCGCAAAAACCAAACAAAACATAGCTACGGGGTGCACGCAAGGCTATATCTTACTCATTTTGTTAATAAAAGTTAGATGTTTAATATATGCAAATTTGCCATTGTACTATTTTATGGCTGATGTGTTTTAATTGAGATAAATCACAAACTATGATCGTTTTAAGGTAGCCTGAGGGGAAATCCATATTCATTTTGTTTAGAAAAGTTCAGTTTGATATTGGTGAATTTATCATTGTACTATTTTATTGTATAGCCTTTTTTTCATTAATAATAATGAGCCATAAGCATTCATTTAAAGTAAGAGGAAAATCCAAAAAACTTTCATTTATTTGTGTTACAACGTAGGTAGGCCTACATCAGTCTTATTCATTCTGTTCATAAAAGTTTTACGTTTAATATAAGCGACTTTGTCATTGTAGCATTGCTGATGTTGTGTGTGTGTGTTTTCATTAAGAGTAGGCCTGATATTGAATCAACCTTAAGCATTCTTTTATTTTTTTTTTATTTTTTTTCCAAGAATAAGAAAAACCTAACATTTAAAGATCAAAATAAGCGCTACATGTGAGAATGTGAGATTTGTTGCTGCTGAGGTAGACGCTCTCGCTCTTTCTCTGCTGGCTGTCTTTTTTTCTTTTTGCAACGTTATGGGCTTCAACTCGGTTAACTGACACAGACATGTATTGTTGATTTTTCTGACGCCACAGATCAATAAAACGTAATAGCCTCTGCACGGACAATAATTAAATGATTTTAATTACTAAACCATATTGTTGATGAAAATAATAAGAGAAAAATACAAGTGGTTGTTGTTATTAATAATATATCAATGATTTTGAAAAAGTAACAAATTAATACCACTGTTTTAAATAGCAGCCGTTGAGCTGCGCGTGCTGAAGCTGAAGAGCTGAATGAACACGGTAAATTAATTCTATATGAGATAAATCGCATTCTATATGAGATAAATCAGATATACATCAAATAAACACAATATTACAACGTACAATTGCACAAAAGGCTGCAAACGAACAGCGCGCATCTGAAGTGTCTCTGAAGGAAATAATGCATTATTTATCGGCTTTAAGATATCGGCCAAATTTTCTTATCAGGCCGATACCGATAACAGAAAAAATGAGCCGATATGGGCCGATACCGATATGGTGGCCGATATATCGTGCATCCCTATTAAAAAGTCAATTATTTATAGCATGCAAGCCACCCAATAATCGCTGCTTTGTGCTTTGTTACTACAAAGTCTCAGCCTTCTGTCAATTTTATTATAAAATAAAACAATAAATGTGTTTTTACGCTCTTTAAATTGTAGTGAGATAATTCGCCTCAGTTCAAGCGGCATATGAATCAATGATGTTTTCCTCCTTAAAATTTGCAGCACGAAATAAACATGAAAATATTTGAATGAATGAAAAAAACCCAGAACAATTTAGTACAAACGAATGTCTCATGAAATCGATCAATCAGAGTATAAAAAAACGTCAATAAATCTGCATTTTATTGCTGTTTTTAATGTTAAATGTGAAGAATGACGGATGCCACAGACTTTTTTTTTTTGTTTGTTTTTTTTGGGCGAAGTAGCCTATAGGTGGAATTTTCATATTAACTTTATAACATGATTTTATTATCGTAATTTTGACTTTATTCTTAAAATATTACGAAGTTAATCTTATTTATTTAGTTATTTTCAATGTGCTGCTGTAGGCTATTTGTAGCTACTGAATGCAAACATCATTTTGGCACAGCGGCCCAAAAATACAAACAAACAAAATAAAGTAAAAAATAGTGAGGGAATAAACTAGTGTTTTCTGAGTCAGTGTTGCACAGATGAATTTGACAAACCTGACTCGCCATCTCCTCATTGGACGTGCCTTTAGAGAGAAATGCATCTTTACGGATTACATAATGAAATTAATTCGATTTGAATTATTTAGTTTTAAAATAGTAATGTAAAGCATTGTATAGATATACAGTATTTATCATGTCGGTGAGGCGCTCCTGCTCAAGACAGAGACGACTGAAAGCGCATCAGAAAGCATTTGTATTCCTTATTTTACAAAAGCACAAGGTTTTGTTGATATTGTGAGTGCACACAAATACAAGTAGACTTTGCAGTTCTGAATGAGGTATACTCTTACCTTTATGAGCAAAAATGATTTAATCATATTTTTAAGATTCCACTGTTATAAAAAAAAAAAAAAAGCAAGTGATGGAGCTGGCGCTTCCATGTCCTGCAGAGCGCGCTTCAGCTTCCACTCTCTGCACAAACGATTGGATATGCACCTAACAGCGCACATTTATCTAGGTTAAATGTTTAGATTAAAATCTATAGACAAAGCACTTCGTGCATTTCACAGTATTATTTTAGGCAAGTCGTCCTGTTGATTTGAGAAGGCTAAATTGATCAAACATATGCTCAACTCACTGTCAGCCGCTGGCCGCTTGGTCGTTCCTTTAAAAAAATAAAAACCTGAATTTAACAAACATAAAATATTTCTAAATTAACTTAATAAAGGAATGAAACAAAATATTACCACTTTGCCATTAAAAACCGAAACTGAACTATTTTAATGGCTGCAACAGCAGCTGTGTAATGGGGGGAGAGAGAGAGAGAGAGAAAAGAAAAGACACAGGCTCCAGTCGGACTTGAGCTGAGAATTCTGATAAGCTGTCGGACAAGGGCAATTCAAGGAAATTGCAGGAAAATTCATTTCCTCGTTTCAATTAAAAGTTCCCCTCAGCTCGGCGGGCCCCCAATCTGCCCGGGCCCATATGTACCTGCATACCCAGACGCTACACCACTGAATATAATCAAAAACCATGGCAACAAATGTTTTTAAGTCAGTTTAAGAAGTTTAATAAGTTGAAACAACTTTCAGAGTCAATTTGATTCAACTTGGAATGGTTGGAATGTTCTTCCGCGGTATGTGTGCGGTTCATAGTGCTGCTTTAAATATTAGTATTTAACATTTTATGTTTTATAGATCAAAGTGTTATGCATTTGTAACTGCAGTTTAAAAGCATTCATGTCCTGCATTAAACAGTGTGTAAACGCATCTAAATGCCACTTCAGATGCAGCTTCTGGGTTTCCTCCGCATTGCAAAGATTAATTTTGTTGATACTGATTTCATTTGCTTGGTAACGGTCCAAATGTCTTATTATTCTAATTCACTGCTTAAATGTAAGAATTTGACGCAAAAGTTAATGGACACTTTTAGAAAAAAATGGCTTTATAAACTGTAAAAATCAATAAACTCAAAGAATTTTACTTATTGGAAAAGATGAATTACTATCCGTGTGAACTGACCACCACACAGAATATGAAGAATAACAAAAACTCTAGGAGTCAGCTGTCTACAGCAGTCCTGAAGATACCAACACAATAACACGCTTAGCAAATAGTCTAATTATCGTTATCAATAAAATCCCAGAAAATATTGAGATTATTTTTGGTCAATATCGCACGGCACACCCTTACATCTCTCTGGCATAGTGTTGAACAACTTCAACACTAATGTTATCGCATGCCTTCTGCAACTCAAGCCAAAGGCCTTCCTTTGAATGTGCAATAGATCTGTCCAGTTTATTTTCCAACTCGCCCCAAATTTGCTCGATGGGGTTGAGGTCTGGACTTTGAGGGGGCCAGTCCATCATTTTCAACGTTCCAGCAGATATTGTAATGGCCAATTCAACAAAAACAACTGAAACCTCTTAAATATGCCAAGTGTTCTAACAATTCTGGCCACCACTGTGTGCAGCATTAACGAGCAGAGTCGACACTGACTGACAGCATCTGTTGATTTACTTGGCCCAGTGCAGTTATCAGCTCTATGTTAGCGCCACACAGAGTTTAATCATCCTGCTGTGTGTTTGTGTGTCCGTCTCAGGTGATAAACTGGCAGACAGCCCTACACATCCCCCTGCAGGCCAGGCTGAGTCCGGAGGCCACCGACCTGATCCTGAAGCTCTGCCGTGGCCCGGAAGACCGGCTTGGGAAAAACGGAGCCGATGAGATTAAAGCCCATCCCTTCTTCAGAAGCATCGACTTCTCCACAGACCTGCGGCAGCAACAGCATGCGCCTTACATCCCCAAAATCACACACTGCACTGACACCTCCAACTTTGACCCCGTTGACCCCGACAAACTCTGGAGCGACGACGCTGACGGCAACCACAACGACACGCTCAACCGCTGGTTCAAGAACGGCAAGCACCCGGAGCACGCCTTCTACGAGTTCACCTTCCGCCGCTTCTTCGACGATAACGGCCACCCGTACAGCTGTCCCAAGCCCATCGAGTGCGAGGATTATGACGGGGAGGAGGATGAGCCGGTCAAGCCGTCGAAGGGCTTAGGGCCAGAACAGGGGCGGGATTTAGTCTATGTTTAGTGTGAATGCGTGTGTGGGGGAAACTAACCCAGAAATCAAAAGAAACCAACCAGAAATGATATTTTGCATGAGCATAAATGTAATGGAGGACCATTCATATCAGCATTGTGATTATTTTCATGACAAGTTCATTTCAAACCTCCATTTCTCATTGCTGTAATGCAAACAAATATATTTAATAATAACTGACAGTTATACGATACGTATATATACATACAATATATGATTACCGTTAACCATTTAAAACAATGAAAATGACAAATTCAGAAGGAAAACATTTGAACGTAACAGGAATTTTGAGGGAAAATGTCTTTAATTCTCATGAACATGGCAACAATTTGAAATTCTCTAAAATGGACTTGATTTTTATTATGCAAAATATAATTTCTTCTTTTGATTTATGGGTAATCGGGGCATATTTTCACGATGTAGGATGTGAGTGTGTTTTTATGTTTGTTTTCTCTCCTCCATCTGTGGTGGTGACCCTTTGTGCTGTATTTATTATTTTTGGTTCAGGATGCACTTGTCTGGTGCCTTTTAAACAACCAAGAATCTAATGATGCAGTGGAGCTCTGTATTTCTCTGTAATTTATTTAAAGACTCTTTTTTTTTTTTTTATGGTAGCTGAAACAAGCGGAGTATTTTCTTCCTGAAATGATGTCTTTATTTATGATTGTGTGGATTTGTTTCTCATTCTGAGCGGCACAGGGCACTAGACTTCACACTTTCTTTCACCAAAACTATGAGGGAGATCATCGTGTACGCTGGTAGATTTAGCCGACTGTTCATTAGGAGTTCCCAAGAAAAACACATTGTAAATTGTTGCTCTGTGTATTTTTTATTTATACACACAGAAATTGTATATATAAGTTATGCAGTGTAAATGAGCCTAGTCCTTTACTCCCTTTTCTTAGTCTAGGGTTTAGGAAAGAAACCATGGGCTAGATTTCACAGGATAAGATGTCAAAACACTACAGATCCTGAGCAAAACGCTTTTGAGAACCCCTGCTCTGGTTTCTCTCCTTGCTGTGTCACTACCAAAGCCTTCTGTTTTTCTGCAAGAATGGTCTTGTTTTAGTATTGTATTTTTCTGAAATCTCTCTAATATCCTGTGCATCTCATCATGTAGTATGGAAATCCTTGATTAAGCTGGTGGTCTTATTCCCAGGAAAAGCATCTGTAGCTACTTAGTGTAAGTTTGCCTTGAATGGGAGAAAGGATGGGGTGGTAATAAATAAAAGGCCTTAAGCACAAACCACATACTTCAGTGTCATTATAGACGCATGTTCATTTAAAAATGCAGGACACATAACAAATGTGTGTAAAGTCGCTATGAAATCAAAATTGACATTTATTTTAAAGGAATGTTGCTGTGCTAATAACTGATTTATCAGTGCACGTTATTATTTTTTTTTAGTATAGGAAATCCTTGATTAAGCTGGTGGTCTTATTCCCAGGAAAAGCATCTGTAGCTACTTAGTGTAAGTTTGCCTTGAATGGGAGAAAGGATGGGGTGGTAATAAATAAAAGGCCTTAAGCACAAACCACATACTTCAGTGTCTGGTGTTATTATAGACGCATGTTCATTTAAAAATGCAGGACACATAACAAATGTGTGTAAAGTCGCTATGAAATCAAAATTGACATTTATTTTAAAGGAATGTTGCTGTGCTAATAACTGATTTATCAGTGCACGTTATTATTTTTTTTTAGTATAAAGATAGGTTTATGGCAATGATGGAATGATACGATAAAATCTCGGCTAAGAATTGGACACCTTTAATAGCTCACTTTATGCAACATTTGGAACTATGTATATATATATATATATACACACACACACACACACACACACACACCCCCCATTCAAACCTTCAGTTCTGTGTGTAAATGGTAGACCGAGTATACACACATTCAAAGAATAAATGTTGACTTGAAAGATATTCTGTTATGCTTCTAGGAAAGTGTCATTAGAATAGGGTCATCTTTAGATAAAAATCTGTTTCATAAATTATTTTAACACAAAAAAAGGATATGTTTTGAAGAAAAAAAATAACATTTGAATATATAACGAGTAAAATGAATAGAATAAAAAAGCTTAAATGTAGTACTTATACATTATTTTGCTTAAATTATATTTTAAGCTTAACCACTAAAGTGCATTAATAATAAATTGGTACCAGTCCAGAAAGGTTTTTTGAGATGAGATGTAGAATGTGAGTGTGAGGACATCCTCCAGCATAACTGGCCTATCATGTATGCTCCATCGATTCAAATCAGTCAGATCTTTTTCTATTGAATTATTGAAAAATACAAATCCACAATTACCTGGTTGCATAAATATGCACACCCTTTTATAAGACACTCTGTTTGAAATGAATAAGTTACATAAGTACAATAGGTATTTGCAATATAGTGAAGGCCATAATAAACAAGCGCAAGTGGTGTCAGAAGGGTACAACAAACACATTCCAAAGAACAGGACACCTGTCAAAAGATGACAGAAAAACAAGATGAAAACATGTTGGCTGCCAAGAAACTTATTAAAGGAGATGCATGAACGCCTGGAAAGTTCTGGTCACTAGCTGCATGTTACAACAATATCATGCATTTTTCATATATCTGAGGGAGGGCGGGATGGATGGATGGATGGATGGATGGTACCACCAGCAGCTCTGAGTCTCAAACAGGTAAAAACACTTACCACAATGCCTTTAAAATCAGAGCCGAATTCCAACAATGCTGTTTGGGCGCATTCTTGCCTTCAAAAACAGCTCAACGCAGGGTTTTAAAGATGGACGCAGCAGATAAAGACATTTGTCTGTTGTGTTCATACATAGGCCAACAATTGAGAATGTGTTTCTGCGTTATTGTCAAGTGCTGAGTTCTGCAAACTCGCAAATCCTCTCATTATAAATACGATGTAAAGAGATTTTTGCTTAATAATAGATTAATTTTTCGTTTTGTTTCTCGGCAAACCCTATCGTATGCCTTAACACTTGAAATACGGAATGAGTTGCATGGGATAATTTAATGACATTTTAATTATTTTTTGTAAAAAGATTGAAGAAGGTTACAATTAATTAAAGGGGTCATATGATGCTGCTAAAAAGAACATTATTTTGTGTATTTGGTGTAATGAAATGTTTATGCGGTTTAAGGTAAAAAAAACTATTTTCCACATACTGTACATTATTGTTTCTCCTCTATGCCCCGCCTTTCTGAAACACGTCGATTTTTACAAAGCTCATCGGTCAGAAAAGCGAGGTGTGCTGTGATTGGCCAGCTATCCAGTGTGCTGTGATTGGCCGAATACCTCAAGCGTGAGACGAAAATGTTACGCCCCTCACCATACTGTGATGATGCCGTGTCCCGACACGATGAGACAAAAACATTAAAACCCATTATAAACGAGGCATTTGTTGCATCCAGTGGGGACGTAATTACTGATTATAATGACTTATACTGTCTTTTTACGCGTTGCATTGCATCGCGCCGCGTAAACATAAAACCATGTCTGCATTTGTGATCGGAGAAATGACAAACAACAAGCGCTACTCTACACTGCCCAAAAAACTCGCTTTAAATATATAAAATATAAAAACTATTTAAATATAAAAAACGTACTTACAGTCTGTGAGTCAGAACAGCCGGCATTGTAGTCTACTCTCCCAGGATCAGGAAACAGTCCTCCATAAAGTCCTCACGGCGGGCTTGAGAACAGCGCGGCCAGCGGATTCGACGAAGGAGCGTCCGGAGGGCCTGCGGCGACCACATGTGACGACCCCGGACTGGACTCCGCTTCGTCCACGGTGAAAGCCGATCCGGTGATCCACAGCGCAAAGTTGATGTATTTCCTCAGCGACCAGCACGGATCAG